ACACCACTTCAGAAAGTTCCAGAGCCTCAAAAAAGTGCTTCTAGCCTATACCACCCAGGCACAGCCCCACTTTCCTCAGTCCTTTTTTGTCTGCTGCTGTGAAAACACTTAAAAGACTGCTCTAGAGTCTCACTTAACTTACCTTCATTCCTACCACGATAAGTTTTCCTTTTTTCGCTTTTTCCTTCTCCTTCGTTCTCTCTTCTTGGTGAAGAAGAAGAAGAAGAAGAAGAAGAAGAAGAAGAAGAAGAAGAAATGTTAGTTCCTAGAGGGTTTTTGAGGCTCTGGATCTTTCCAAAGCTGTGTTGCAGAGGCACGCACACCTGTTTTGTGTGGATACAACGATCACCACTCAAAGAACCATAGTTATGTACAAGTGCAATGTACATGGTGTTATATTTAAGGTGGGGACGGCAACTTTGGTGAGCTGATGGCCAAACTTTTTGCCCCCAGAAACCCGCACAGATAGTACCAGGCTTAGAAATGCACGACATTTGGCAGGTGGTGAAATCAAGACAGCAAGTGGCAAGACATTTTCTGGCAGTTTTGTGTTTTTTGTATTGAGAAGTGACTTTCCAAATGCAAACAGTGATATAAGAGATTCTTCTAGAGGCACAAAATCCTATTTTTTTTTAACATTAGCTTGGCATGGAGTTCTCAGAATTGCTGAAGGGGACTGCATGCCGCTCTTAAGTCACACTTCGCCCATCTGTGGTTTAAGGGAACAGAACATTGGCTAAAATGGCACAAATACCTATACAAAATAAAGTTTTTTAAAAATACAGTTTTTAAAAAATTATGAGCATTAAAGTAGAACTACCAAATATGCGATCTGTACCTTTTTGCTGCTTTTAGTCATATTGTACTCCCATGTAAAGCCCTGCCTTTCCTTTGGCCTACAGGTTCAAATGATTATGGGTACAATGTTATAAATTCAGCATTGTTGCTTTAGGGGTAAGGTGAAGTAAGGAGAAATTTATACAAAAAACCTAAATACACAAATGCTGTAGGAAGAAGTGTATAGCAATTTTCTCTGCCTGGAAAAAATACATGAAGATTAGGTTTGAGACTCAAATGTGATAGAGGCTGGATTGAACACACAACTTTAAAAAAAACACTACAGACTAAATTGCTGCCTTGTCTTCTCATAATCTGCTTTTATCCAGCTCACATTTGCTGGTCAGTTATTATGTATGTTTGCCCATCAAATGCCAAACACTTTTCCTGTTTTGGTTTTTTCTGTTTAGTACATACATTTTATTATTACTTTATCTGATTGCATAATCGATTTAGCTGAAGCCTAAATTAGCAACAGTCATGGCTGTTGATGTCTTGTAGCTGTGACATTGCAAAACAAAATCTCTGGATTTATACAGATTTGCTTTAGCCCCCTCCTCCTTTGGGCAACATTTAATCATTTTGCTGCCTGTGTACTTGTGCTTCTTTTTTATAAGCAGATCTAGAGAATCTGCCAGCTGTTGATTGTATAATTCAGTGTCACGGTTCCTAGTTTAATCATCATCATCATCTTAGAACTGCAGAGCTGAAAGGGTCCTTATGGATCATCGAATCCAGCCCTTGTCAAGGAGGCACATGGAGGAACTGAACTCTCAGTCTTTGGCTCCACAGGCAGATCCCTAAACAACTGAGCTAACCACTAGCAGTTCTAAATATTTAATCCGTCTGCTGTTCTTTTTTTAAAAAAAATAATTGGATGAAAGATTTTAGTTTTTCTTTATGCTTCCCATAAAATTGCAGAGGAACCAGGGTTGACCAAAAACATTTTGCTGTCAGGTACAGGATGCCTCTCCCCCAGTTTTACATACAGACATCAAGCAAACTGGCACTTTAAATGTTCAACAGATGGGACAGCATCTATCACACCTCTGAGAACAACAACTTTGGGGGTAAAGGATAGATCTGCTATGTGGCACATACAACTCTTGTCCTCTAATACTGGTTATTGCTTCCTCCCTTTCCAAGGTTTTGTTCCTGAGGCAGCTATATTACTCTTCCTAAGGGTAGGGCCAGCCCTGAGCTTAACCACATAGCAGAGGAAAATGAGTAGAGTAAAGGCTACAGTGGGGTCTTGACTTGAGAACTTAATCCGTATTGGAAGGCGGTTCTCAAGCAAAAAATTTCTCAAGTCAAATCTGCATTTCCCATAGGAATGCATTGAAAACCATTTGATCCGTATCTGTTCTTTTCCGTCCGTAGAAACTAATGGGAAGCTGCTATTCCGCCTTCGACCACTAGAGGGGGATATTTTGTTTCTTTTTTTCTTAGGTCAAGAAAGGTTCAGGGAAGGCAGGGAAAATACAGTCCAGGCAGTACCAGGCAGTCTGAAGACTCCCAATCCACTCTCTAAACGCTGGGAGGAGTGAGGAAGCAGACAGGCACCCTTTTCACTGGCCAACAGTTAACTGAAAGTTCAAATTTTGCACTTTCCCTGCTTTCCACGTGGTTTTTTTCAGTTCTTAACTCAAATCTAAGTACTTAAGTCAAGTCAATATTTTCCTATGAGAGTGGTTCTTAAGTCAAAATGTTCTTAACTCAAGCCGTTCTTAAGTCAAGACCCCACTGTATTATGTGTGTTAGTTAAAAAGAACTTTTGCATTCAAGAGAATACCCTTGAAGCCCACATGGTAGGGAAAAGCAAAACAGCAGGAGAAAGTTATCTTGCTTGTGAACTTTCTAAAGATGTGTCTGGCTAGAAAAATAACACCAGGTCATTAATTTTGATCCATCAATTCAAGGAATGTGTTCTTATATTATACTTGTAAAACATGTTGTCACAGTCTTGGTTGTATCTCAGCTACAATGGTTGAACATCCTTCATAGGTCTGTCTTGCTCCTATATTTTTGGAGCATCTGGTTTGGTACAGTTGTGTTAAGAGATATGGGTTGTTCTTTGAGAGAAAGACACAAGAATGCAAAATGTTCTAGCCTGGACTTTCACCAACAACATAGCTTTCCATGTGTAACACGTTTGTTTATTTATTTGTTTTTCTGTGGTGGAGCATTTCTTTCTTCAAGCCCCACCCACCTACAGCATGAAAATGTATAGCCCAGGTAACAGACTGACCGTGTTTCCAGCCCACCTGATATTTTCCTTTTCACCAGTTGGTGCAGTTGCTTTGTGGTTAACATAGCAGCAGGGCTCAATTATTCTTCCTTATTTCCCTCTCCTTATTTGTCATTCTCTGACCTTGTCATTATTGTCTTGCCATCTTACTGAAGACTGTAATTCCTGCAGGCACGGATCATATCTCTATGAATTGTGTCCAGTAATGTTTTCTTCTGTGATACAACTTCCAATATGTATAGACTAACCTGACAGGCTAAAGCAGTGGTTACAAAACTTGGATCCCCATATCTTCTTGAACTAAAACTCCCAGAAGCTTTAACCACTAATTGTGCTGGTCAGGGTTTATGGGAGTTGTAGTCCAAGAACATCAGGTGACCCAAGGTTGAGAAGCACTGGGAAAAATTGTTCTGCCCTAGACTAGCAATAAATAATTGCAGCTCAGGCCTCCTGTTACCTAGTACATTTCTTTTCACACTTCAGGTAAGATTTTTTTTTAATTGAGTCAAGTCAGTTAAAACAAAAGAAAAATTAAAACTGGCTACAATCCATCGATTAATAAAACATTTCATGTTGTGTCTTAGAAAATGCAATTGATTAGAATGAGCAAATATTGAACAGCATTATAGCATTAAAAGCTACTGGAAGAATGCTTTTAGTGCATGTTCTATTGTTATGAACGCTAAAAAAGCTGTGATTTTTGCAGCACATCTAATGGCAAAATTGCTTGCTCCCTAATAACGGTTACTTAAATTTGAAATTGCTTTTTTGTGTTAGAAAGTAAAGTGGAACAATGAAATATTTAATTATGTTTTGATAGCTATTGAGCATTTCCAGGAAGGCTTCCATTTAAATAAATACAGAGATTAATTTTCTGCAATATATGCTTTGGGCCTACTCTTTCTTCATATTTGCATATAATGTGGCAGAATAGAGTGGAATCCTCACTTTGTTGTCTCTCCTGTGTCTGATGGCTAGAGTTTTAGCGTAGTGCTCATTTGCATACATTTGCTTATAAGTCCAAGATTTCACTTTGTGCAGTGTCAGTATCTGTAGTCTGTAATAATATCTGCTTCCCATAATATAATTTTCTATACAGGGGAACTTACATTGTATTTAATTAGCACACATCCCACCCCAAATACATGTTTTTCAATATTTTTCTTTGCATACTGGTGAGCCACACATTTGAAAGTGAATATTTACATTCATAAATGGTACTCAGAAGAAAGCACACAGACTTTAGTGGAATCAGTTTATTGGGAACTTTAACAATGCTTAGATTAATTCTCATTAATCTGATTATGATAACTGTAGAGTTGAAACAATGGTTTCTCTCTTTGTTCTCATAATGTGCAACCACTTTTGTCATTTTATGAAACCTACATGTGTGTTCCGAAGTATATTCAGAAATAATTTCACCTTTTGCATTTGCTGAAGGGTGACGTTGGTGTAAACACGATTGCTACTTAAAGTATGAAAGCAGATTTGCAATTAAAGCTGCTGCTGCTACTCTTCGAGCCCTGGCAGCAGCCCTGGCTCCACCATGCTTTATCTTCTTCAAGCAAGTTTGTGTTTATAGAAAACCAAGCAGAAAATGACATACTAGCCGGAAGCAAAGCATCCAAGGTCAAAACAGCTCTGAATTTCATGAACTGTGTGAGGATATATAAATCAGCTCTGGCAGTAGTAACACAGTTTAGTCTTTCCAGGTTTGCTTTGAGCAAGTCACTGCTGGATAGCTCAGTGGTTTAGGCATCGGTTGGGAGTTCCCTTCCCCACTGAGCCTCCTTAACAGAGGCTGGACTCAGTGATCCTTGTAGCTCTGCAGTTCTCAGATTATTATTAAGTAAAAGAAACAGAATTCTGCTTCAAAACAATCATTTTAGAGGCTATTGTTTTTGTCTTGTTACAGTTTCTGGTAGATGGATGCTGACATGGACTACGAACGACCTAACGTTGAAACCATCAAGTGTGTGGTTGTCGGTGATAACGCAGTGGGGAAGACTCGCTTAATCTGTGCAAGAGCATGTAACACCACCTTGACCCAGTATCAACTGCTGGCAACTCATGTCCCTACTGTCTGGGCAATCGATCAATATCGGGTCTGCCAAGAGGTATGTATGGTAAACTTCAACCAGTTGTGGAAAGTTTTATATACAGATTTTCCTTGGCATGGACCAACCAGTCCTTTTAAGTGCTTACCCTTTGATGCCTCCTTTAAAAATGGGTTGACTGAGCCCTGTCCTTTGGGCAACCTGTTTGTTCAGAAAGGAAAGATAATACCAAATGGGCCAGAGGGTTATTCTTCTATTAATATGGATACAATAGTTTTTGAAATGTTTCAGTCCAACTGCCCACTTTTTACATTGTTGCTTTTTGCAGTATTTATATTGCTTTGGAGATACACATCAGTCTTATCATTCTTATTTAAGCCTTATTCAGGTGTTTCACAAAAGGGCTTAATCAACAGGCTCTTCCTTTTCTCTCCATCCATCCTACTTCTTTCATAAGGACAGCTAACTCTAAAGAGGAGAGCAGTTTTTATTATGTTGGCTCCCCACATGATTAGAAAACTTGAAAAATCATGTGGCCATAACTCAAGATTATCAATATATAGACTTGTGTCTTCCATAGGTTTAGCTCTCCATATGCAAAAGCCAGGTTGGAGGGGGTGGGGTTAGCCTGTTTCCTCTGATTAATGGTTAAGGTTAACCCTTTTATTGAAGACCTGTTTAGATTTGTAGTTGGGCAGTAATTGGAAATATTTCTGTGGCAGTATTGTGACAAAACTGACCTGTAAATAATATGGCCCTCGAGTCAGGTTTTAAGGCTTCATCATAACGTCGTGTTTTCTAAAGAGTTTGTAAGTGTGCTCATAGCAGGTTGCATGTAGATTAATTCATCTTTTAATCCAACTTCTAAACTAATTTAATTCATATTTTAAACAGACATACTACATGACAAACTCTTCCTGTTGATTTCTGTGCTACCTTGGTTTAATTAATTTGATCAGGCTGCAGCCCTTTATCAAGTAGGTCCTCATTATTTCATAGAATACGAGTACTCAGCCTCGCTAGCATGCCAAGCCATTGTGGTTTTGTTCACTATAATGTACAATGTAACAGAGTCAAACCATGGTTTAATACTACTTGTCTAATACCATAGCACAGCAGAGTCTAGATGCAGAGCAATGTGCATAAATATGGTGGTCTGCTTCATGCCAGACTGTAGTTAACACAGCGGTAGTACTTTGCAAACTCAAATCAAGTCATGTGTTCTTATTTCTGGCCTGACAGCCAATCCCAAATCATTGTTTGCTAATTAAGACCTAATGGCAGGCTGTAGTTAACCATGGTTTGATTGTGTTATAGAGCAAGGGTGAACAGTGCCTCTCAGCCTTTCAGTCTCGTGTCCTACCAATCAGTCTGACAAAGAATCTGGTTGCTACTCTAATAGGAACAAACAGCCCATTTTTCCTGAGAAGAACAGTTGTTAACATATCATTTATGGTAAGTTTTAAAACTGCAGTATTATTACTGCAGTAAATACTACCAAAAATAAATCTGTACATAGCAGAAAACTGAATATAAATGTTACTTCTACAGTAACTGAAACACAAAGGGCTCCATCCAGTTGTTAGTTCTAACTAAAATAGGTCCATTGAATTAAGTATTGACTTAATATGTCTCATTCATTCAGTTAATCTATTGTAATGGCAACTGAGAATGGGAACTGAGAATGGGATTTTTGAAGACTGAGATAATTAAAAAAATGCAATTGTATCCTGAGGAATAAATTTTCCTGCTATGCATAAAACATGAACGAACAGGCAAAAATAGGTATCTAATGAAAGACTTTCATCTTACCTGATTGAGTACCATGCTGTTCTTTAGCAGTCTTCACTAACCTAGATCCCCCAGATGTTGCTGGATGACAGCTCCCACCCAGCCCTTTTTCTCTTGTAGGTTAAGAATGATGAAATTGTGCTTCCGTAACATCTGGAGGGACTGGGCTGGAAGAGGTTATTGCTTGCTGTGCCTTCAGACTCTTCTTAAGGGTGTTGTACCTGCAGCAAACTTTAACTGGTGAAAGTATACTTATTTCAGGTTCTTGAGCGTTCCCGTGATGTTGTTGATGAAGTGAGTGTTTCTCTCAGGCTGTGGGACACATTTGGAGATCACCACAAAGACAGACGCTTTGCTTATGGCAGGTATGTGGACATTAGCCTAGCTTTTTGTTTGCAAAATGTAATAGGGAAAGAAGCGCGGCTTTGAAGTGTGAAATGTGAAGCATTAAACTGATTAAAATGATTCATATAAACCATCATTCAAAGAACAGAATTATAAATGTACACATTTTGGAAAAGAAGATAACCTGTTTAAACTATATGTATTTTATCAATGGGCTAAATCTTCTGAGTAAAACACACAACATGTTTTGTATGGAAATATTATAAGAAGAGACCAGAGTATTGTATTGTGCAACACTTTGATACAAAGAAAGACGGACGGACGGAAGCCAGAGTATGGGTAACTACTTGACTCTGGCCTTGGTGGAGGGTAACAAATTCACTTACTACTAATACTACTGCAGTGCCAGGTGTGTTTTAAAGAACACAGTCATTCATGATTCTTCAATAAGATAAATCCTTACCAACAATGCTTCCTTACCAACAAGCATATCATGAGAACTTTGGTTCACCTGACTATACCCCATAATATGTAGCATTGGTTTTCCCCAAGGCTGTCCACCTCTCTCATTAATGGCATAGACTGAAGAAATGCTCTGTGTCTGTAGTTCTCAGTTTACTGGAATCAGCAGAGGCCTGGCAGGATCTGAGGAACAACCTGATTAAAATTAATATAGGAGTGCAACCAGGTGGAAGTTCATTAAAGTGAACAGAAGACTTCCTCCCTACTTCCCTAATTTAAATGTTATCAAAGGGAATAAGATGCAATCCCTGAATAGTGTGTATTTTTACTTCAACCTGGTAGGTCACTGGCTGTGAAACAGCTGCTTTAGGTAAACTCCAGAGGCTTAGGTATCAAAAATTGGTTGTTATAGAGCACAGATAGATTTGACAAGTGCTGTTTGAGAAGCAAAAGTCTAAAATCTTTTTTTCCCATACAGATTCGGTTGCACAGGTCTTGGAATCCTGGTCTTTGTGTACAGGCTAGCTTTAAGTTGCTGATACTAAGTTTGTGTTGGCTTTGTTTACTTTTTGTTTACTATGTGCTTTTATTATCACAAATTGTACATTGGGCTTTGTTTGAAGAGGACCTTTACTTTACAATACTTGAAAAGCAATTTCTTCAGTGATCTCTGTCATGAAGATACATTAGTATTTATATCAGGTTCATTCACTGAATGATTCACAGACTTTATAGCCCCCACCCCCACATTCACGTAAATACAAACAAGTAATGTACTCAACTAGTTTTCTAATTCAGCTGTTCCTCACATAATGAGAAAGATGTGTGGCATATTAAACTTTTTATGCTTTTATACTGATATGTGAATCCTTCAATTTATTCCCCCTCCACACAACAACAACAACAGCAACAACCTGTGAACTTCTAGTACAACACTGCAAATCACAGTCCTTGCTGAGGATGGAGGGGTGAGGGTCATGAAGACAACACCCACAGTGCTCACTTAATAATTAACCATAACTGGCTTTTCCCCAATATGGTATCTTTAGAGCTCACTATGGAACAAAAAAACATACATATGTTTTCAGGGTTGGGAAATTCTTCATCCCAATATTATTCCCACTACACTTAGGGCAATTTTTGGTGCCAGCTAAAATAGATCTATTGATTCTGTGGGACTTACTTAAGCGATGATTGAGCATATCCCACTCTTTTACTGGATCTGTTTTAGATGATATGAACAACTGGATTAAAATAGAAAGTCTTCATCCTCAGTCTTATTCAGCAGTCACCTGTGGATAAACAAGAGACAAAAGACCCACAATGCGATGGCTCTTACAGGGGGAGAAACTGTTGAGTCTGCAAACCTGGTTCTAGCAAGACATAACTCTAGGTAGGGAATGCAATGTTTCCAGGGCTCTTCGTGGGTGCTAATTGTATGGCGTGTCTTCAGTATGACTGGTGCCATATATTACATAGGCATCAGTCCAATGCCTTTGCAAAAATCTACCACATAATCAGACCAATGCCAATAATAGAAAGTTTACAAACATTGTGGCCCTTAATTATATTGGTTCATGAGTGGTGGCCCTTAGTTTTAATTTCTGAGATGGATTGTGAGACAGTAGGAAATGACAGTTATGGTAATAAAGGTTGTTGAAGACTGAGAAGGTGATTCATGGCTTGGGAGAGGAAGTTTCTGACAACACAGAAAAGCTTTGGTGTGCCACTGGAGGCTTGGTTGTCCTGCCTGCTGTATAAAACGGCTTTCACATTCATTCTCATGACAGAGAAAACCTTCTGGTGATTAATTTTGCGGTCTGTGCCTTAACAGTTTTTTTTTTTTTCTGAAAAACCACCAAAGCCCTAATTAAAGATCCTGGTTAAATATTTTATTGCCGCCAGCAGACATAAATGCATCATGCAGAGGCTACAGAGTGTACAAGACATTTGTCAGACAGGCGCTAGATACTAATCTATTCAAGGGTTAGCAAGTTTAAAATCCAGTGGTTTCTGATTTTAGCAGGGCTAGCTATGTCTGTGTTTACCCTTTGCTTCCTTCCTTGATGTGGCCTTAGAAGATATGTCAACATAAACTCTGTCACTGAGCAGATTAGAGGAGATTAGGAGGGCAAAATGAGTCATGTTCCAGTATTCGTAGAGATAAGAGGGTAGGATAACAACATACTTTGGCCCTTATCCTACAGAGACTATACACATAACATGATTGGGAATAGTCTGACAAGTGACATTATTTGATTATAGAAAGACTAGTAAATTTGGACGTGTATCATGAGAATTGGTGAACAAAATTCTCAAAAAGTGATTTTTCTCAAAGCAAACAAACTCAACAAATATTTATCATTTTCACAAAGCAGTATTTTTAAATAGCAGGTATGCCTTATACCTTTCATCCACTGTGGGTGGAAGCAAGGGGAAATGGTTTAGAAGTCTAAGCACACATGCACCTTGTCAAGTTTTCATTCAAAGCACAGCCTCAGTGAGTGTGTGATATCGTATTAGTGAAATGATGAGTTTTCCCATTATTTGCATGCATGCTGTAGGCTAAATAGGATCCTACACATTTTTTTTTCAGTTTTAGGTATAATCATCATCTTAGAACTGCAGAAGAGACCCTGTGAATCAAAGAGGCAAAGTGGGGAATAAAGCTCCCAACCACTGGCTCCGCAGCCAAATACCTCAGTCTTTGAGTTTTAAGTATGCATGATTGAAGTGTGAAGGGTTGAATTTGAGAAACACTATACTTGTAGATTTAGACTGATGCAGAACTATGAATGTGAGCAACAGCTCATTAATTAGTTGCAGTTCACTGCCATGATTTATGCCATTACATTTACAACACCAGAATAAATCTACAATGGGATTCTGGCCACTGAGTGTAAGTTTTTGAACTTGGAAATAGTTTGCTCCACTGCTTCTTCACATTTTGCTCTTATACAAAAACATACCCTTTCTCTCTGTCTCCCCTTATTTCTATGATCTTGATTTTACTGTTCTATTTCCCTGCTTTAATTTTGGGACAGTCAGACATATTGTTGCTTGGTGCAATTGTGGAATTCATAGATACCTTCTTATGCGCCATCTGTATCTAGGCAGAATACCCTACTTTGAATTCTGCATCAATTCATGTTTCAGTTATTACCGTACTGTGTGATTAGGGTTTTGTTACTGTAGACATGTGTCAGGTCTGAGAGAGATTCTGCCTGTCATTGCTAATTATTAGGAATTATACAGTCAGGTTGCTGAAGTGTTCAAACAATAGTTCATAGTAATGATAGGGCACTTGGTACTTGTCCTTTGGGTAAATACTAATCTGTTGCATTCAGGAAATACTAATCTGTACTTACTTATTAGGTTTGATGTAACGTGATAATTGGTTAAGCTTTTTTAAAATCGAGGTATGGCATTAAAAGCATGGCAAGTTATTAGGTTTGGTGTAACGTGATAATTGGTTAAGCTTTTTAAAAATTGAGGTATGGCATTAAAAGCATGGCAAGTTATTAAAAAATAGTCTTCACTAAACATAATGTAATGAAGCGGTACGTTCTGCTTTCAATAGCCAGCAGTAGCTATTACAGGTCAGGGAAGTGCAAACAGTGATCTGGGTATGAAAATAGATGAAGAAAAGAGAGTGTGTTGTTCATACCTACACATTGTTGAAGGCTTCACACGTTTAAAGCTGGTGACAGGAATGGAGCTGCTTCTGTACACCTGATATGCTTATCATAGAATCATCGTAGGGTTAGAAGAGACCTTGGACCTCTTCTAGTCCAACCCCCTGCCCAAGGCAGGAGATCTCATGCCATCCTGGGACAGATGAACTGGCTCCTTGATTATATGCAGCCAGGTTATCAGTGAAGACAGGTGTCCTTGGGCAAAACTACACGTGGACAAGACTGCACAGTTTGGGCTCCTTATTAAGACTGAGAGAAGATGACATTTCTTAATTTGTTTTCACTTTCCCTGAATGGGATCTAAGGAAGCCCTGTCATTACCAGAATAGTTTGTGCATTCCTACAAACCTGGACCATGTAGTAAATAAAGGTTGAGGAACGAAGGGTCCTTCAGATATTGTTGGACTGCTGCTCCCATCAGCTCTAGTGAGCAGAAGCAGTGTTGAGGAGTCATAGGAACTGTGGACCATCATCATCTGGGACATCACATGTTTCCCATCTCTGCACCAAAACTAGAATCTTTTATATGTCCATTCATACAAGCATTCCGTTGAGTTCAGTGGGCTTCTCTCAGGTGAATTGACATGGGGTAATAGTATGAAGTATTTTCCCCCTGAAGCTCTCAGTGTATTTATTTTTATGGGTTGATAGGATAAATTTACCAGGATTTTCACATATATGCTGAAATTTGGAAGAGAGCTCCACCTTCCATAGTCCATTTACAAAGTGTGATAAATTTATTTATTTAATGCATTTATATACCACCCTTGCATGCAGTGGATTAGATTGTGATTTAATATCAGATCAGACAAGAGCCAGTGTGGTATAGTGAACAGAGTGACAGACTATGCCTCAGGAGGCCT